TTAGAATATTGCGTACAGGAATGGGCGCCTTATTTTAAACAGGACGAACGCTGTCTTGAGAAAGTACAGCGCTTAGCAACTAGAATGGTAGCAGGCCAGAAAGATAAGGGATACCTCCAACGACTGCGGGACGTGGACCTGTTCTCCCTGGCCCGCAAGCGCATCCGAGACGACCTTATAGAGACATTTAAGATTGTCAAAGGGCTTTTCGGTCTAAGGTTCCAAAACGTATTCTCTTTTGTTCCTGCAAGGGGCACGAGGGGCCATCAACTCAGATTGGAAAGAAGTCACTGTAGACTAAATTTGCGAGCTAGGTTCTTCACAAACAGAGTTATACCGCTGTGGAATAAACTACCTGAAGCAGTGGTTAACTGTATTAATGTCGAATCTTTCAAGAGAAGGCTAGATGAATGTTGGACAGTGGTATTTCCCGAAGTTGAGTGTTGAAAGTTAATCGTTAGGCTTTACTTTCCGAAATACTATAAGGGATCTGATACTGCACACTAACATTCTGCCTTTCAGAAACTACTATTGACTCGAAGTGTTGGAAGCCAAAGAAATCGCCGACAACACAAGGAACTGGACGCGCGATTGGCAAGAACCACAGTTCGTGGTGTTAGAAGTGAAATGAACTGAACTGAAGTGAACTGAACTGATAATTACTAGTGGATCGAAGTAATTATCGAGGTAAAAATTAACCGAACAACTCACTGTTCGAAGTAAAAGAAAAGAAATTGATGGGAAAAATGTTCTGATGGGCTTTATTTGACAAAAAGACATGATAAGTCTCTTGATAAATACATCGCAATTCGTTTCAAACATTTGTTTTACTGTATCACTGTATAAAAAACATATCGACTTATCGAACTGGTATACCATAACAGCGCCTGACTCGTCTGATTTGGCACTGGTTTGTCAATCGCTCGAGATGGGTGCCTCAAAAGCGGTAAGCTGTGCATATAAATAAGTGACGCATTGTGATTTTTTTCATTACTTCGAAACTGAATATAAACTGTCAGTTCTGGTTGCCCTTCACACTGCCTCATTCTTCCTGTTATCGGTCCTCGTTCTAAATTAGCGTGGAGAGAACTACAGGATGGCTACATCCAAGAAAAACAAGAAGGCGTTGAAAGATGACGATCTCAACGATCTTAAACAGGAGCTGGATATGGATGAACATCGGATATCGCTAGAAGAGCTGTATATGCGGTTGTCCACAGATCCTGTTAATGGGCTCACTGCGGAACAGGCAAAGTAAGGTTTTCCCCCAATGGATTTTATTCTCAAACAATTTTCAGAACAAGACTAGAGCGTGACGGACCGAACGCTCTTACTCCTCCTAAAACGACACCAGAGTGGGTGAAATTCTGCAAACAACTTTTTGGTGGATTTTCCTTACTTCTTTGGTTCGGTGCTGTGTTGTGCTTCATTGCCTTTTCAATCGAAAGCAGCACATATGAAGAACCCCCAAAGGATAATGTAAGTAACGATTACTATTTTCTCTTTCGTGGGCCAAGCAATTGCGTGGATCCACTAAATGTAATCAATACATTGACCTGTTAGAATCAAGAGATAAGTGCGCTTTTTCTCGAAAATCAGCATTACTTATTTTCCTTGAGGTGCTTTGGTTTAGGTCTGTATGGCATAGCTTGCCAGAAATTAGGCGAATAAGTCAACAAGCCTTATTATTACGCCGCCATCATGATCACCAGCAATGCTGTTATTAAGGAATACTCGTCGTTGTTTAACACTGTATGGAACATTGTTTTAACCATGTTCTCCTAAACTCGTTCTAATCCGACATGCGTATGACTGATTATTTTTACTCGTGAAAATCTTACGAGTTTTGCTGAAGAATTAAACTTTCCAGTAGCAGTTGGATTAATACTGATTAATACTCGTATTAATCTATCTCAACTGAAGGCACCGGCTTGAGGTTTTGTGATCGTGTATTGAGGTGATTTAAAAGTAGTATATCGAGGCAAAATAACTATACTTATCAAAATCCTTGTTGATTTGTTTTCGCCTCAGCTTTTTTGCATTTTTTTGCAAACAGTTGGTACATCTGTTATACCCAACGAGACAATTAAATGCATATATTTATTGACATTTGTGTTGATTTGATTTCAGAGTGGTCTAAAATTTCACAACTTGCGTCTTTGTCTCTTTTCGCTCTAAAGTGAAAAAATCAACCTCTGTTTCCTCGTTCATTCAATTTCAGCTGTATCTGGGTATCGTGTTAACGGCTGTCGTGTTGATTACTGGTTGCTTTTCGTACTATCAAGAGTCTAAGTCGTCCAGAATTATGGAGTCGTTCAAAAAAATGATTCCCCAAGTAAGTTGTTGTGTTACAAATAAAACTATAGAATATAGTGTCAATTTTAGCCTTAGGTCCTGCAATATAGCTTATATCTCTAAAACGAAATATTCAAGTTCGCTGCTTAACGGTGGTCCAATCTCTAAGACGTTGACTTCACTTGGTTTACGTGTCATAATGTCGAAAATGTAATGCTAATTTTTAACCACTTCAACTTTTGCTAGATTTTTTTATTGCATCGTCTATGTTGTCGCTCAGTGGGGGTTTCGTATCTTGGGGATTTCTGTATTACCGTTTCAACTTTGTTAGTAATCGTCGTCGGTTATCGTCGATAGAATCCATGCACTTAGGAATTCGTGAATCAAGTGTTTATCAAACGCTCTGTCCACTTAAACCATCCAGACTGGTAGTAATGCAGTGGTTTAGTCGCTATCACCAGCGTGCTTTGGACCCCATGGTCCGAAGTTCAAGAACCGCCTCTTCCACCCCCCCTTTTGGTGGTAGGCAGCTTTGCTGCCGTTTCCGGTTCAATACCACAACCTAGTGGGACCTTATGTGATTCGCCACTGCAAGTCCCGAGGCTTGGGTTACCGGTTTCCATCACTGAACAGCACGTTCTCACTGTGAGGCTTCCTCGGTCTTCTGTTCGTAACACTAAGGTGTGTAATAAAAAAGCAGTCTACTCTAAGTTATTACTGTAATACCCATTTTTCTATCGTAAAACTGGGTTGACTGGAAAGTTATTCGCAGTCTGTCGAATAGCATTGACAGTATGACCAAACTTGGGTATTATTTCATTTTAATTCTCGAGTGGTTCACTAATGCGTGCTGATTATATTCTTACCTTCTGTACATTAGACTGCCATGGTCACTCGGGGTGGTGTGAAGATCGAGGCCCCAGCTGAGGCCTTGGTGGTGGGCGATTTAATTGATGTGAAGTTTGGTGACCGAGTACCTGCGGATATTCGAATCATCAATGCATGCTCCTTCAAGGTGAGTTCATTTGTTTCTCAGAACATTATCGTATGTGTTGAAGTGACTTCCAAACTGGTTACTTATTACATTTTTTGAGAAAGTTTCCATACCTCTATTGATTTAAATTGCCGAAGTGGTTTCGAGTTAATTGCATTCGCGTGCTCAGCCGGCAGTTTTCTTGTGGAATGTTTTTCTTGTTGAGGAGAATAACTCGATTGGTGGCTGTTCTAAGCTGAACTATCTAATGTAACGTCAAAATTTGTTTTAAAATGTCAAACAAAACAATCGTATGTCGATTTTCGCATTGCCTCGGTTACTCATCTCAACCAATGAGGACCAGATTTTGGCACCAGAAACCGGTTGTTTTTCGTTGTAGTTTTGGATTAAGAGTTTACTTTCTCACCGATCATACCGAAATTGAGTGGATAGTACGAAGACCTAGGGTATTATTAGAATCGGTTAAATTTCTACTTACTAAAACGCTTCTCTTGTTTCAGATCTTTAGGCATTGCTATAACCAGCTGCTAACTGCATAACGATTTGAGTGAAATCACCCATAAAAGTTGTATACACAACTAATGCTTAAACTAATGAAAAAAATAACGAAGTGACCGAACGGTTGCATGAAAAAGTGATGCGAACCGAGAAATACTAGGGTGTTTCTTTTCAGTGAAAATCAATCAATTTGATAAAAGGGACGTTGTAAATCGTGTGAAAATAATCCCATCTAAGTACAGCCATTTTCATTTTATTCCTTAACCAATTGGTCTAGTCTACTTCAGTTTTTTCTTCTTGCTAAAGAATGAATTAGAAGAAGAAAAACAATTCAATACATTTTCAGTCAGACCAAATCTTTTTCCCACCGGTTCGTTTCTACACTTTTTATAATATTACAATTTTTCTTCTGTCCAAAAACAGGCTCTAATAGCCAGCTTAACCTTTTTATGTAATGTCTGTTTGTGGTCTGTAATTTTTTTTTCCAACTTAGTCTCACCGCGATATATTCGCTACACCAAGTCCAAGTAGATTGATTGGTGTGTTTTACTGAAACATTAATCGTTCAGTATTCACTGATATAGTGCTTTTGGACGTTTGCTGGTCTTTCTAATTAGGTTAGTTTTTGGATTTGGCCAATTTCTTTTATGGGCATTTATTCGTCTCTACTAATTAAGCTCGTTTGAAAGGTGAATAAGCTTTAATGTTTGATTTCGTGCATTATTACTAACGAGAGCTTTGGAGAATCAGAGTTTTGCGAGTTTCAACAAACATTTTGGTATGCAGTTACTAGGTGCAACTTTATCCTAATTCTCAAAATCATGGGTTGCTTTTGCTAGAATTTAACGAACGACTTTCTTCTAAATGTTTTTATTTCCACTGAAAACATTGCTGTTAATGTTGTCTTGACGGTTATCTATAAGGTAGTTATGAGGAGACAAGGCTTATCGGATTGCATTCAGATTTACTTTCATTAGGGACACAGCGTCATAAACTCCTGATAAGAGCTATCCTATTTAAATACAGTGGAGCGCGCTTTATCTAAAAATGAATTAAATGAGTATATGTCAAGTCTATGCTAACAACATATGAAAATTAGGATTGTTTTTTGCATGTTGTGTTTATGGTGGTTGCATCCTTTAAGTACTAAATGAACGATTGCCGTGGTACTTCAAATAGTATATTAGTGGACATTAAATTGCTTTGGCAACCTGATGAGGTGAAAAAGGTAATTAAGTCATAACCTGATTTGGTAATGAAGACTTGCTTTTTTGGCTGTAACCCTGCTTTTGGTATTTCTGTTTATTATTATTATTATTTCAACATGTAATCAGTTGCAGAGAACTGGCAAATGAGCCACAACATATGAACAAAGGAAATCAGTAGAATGGGTTCATAGGTTGTGTGGGCATGTTACTTCCCGGTTGCCCTGACCGAGGAAGGGGGATAACCTAGGGGTCCCTACCCGAAGCCTTTGGCTGGACAGCCAGACCTGCAAGACAACAGGACTGATATCAGAGTCCTCGGTTCATCGGGGGCTGGTGTCCATTTCATTGAATCATACGCCCTTTGAACGGAGTAAAACGTCCAAGGTGCCCAATACACCTTGATGCCCCATTGAGCCGGTGACCCCTGCCACAACCAGGAAGGTGTGCGTGTGGTTCGTACGCCTCTTCATGGTTGGTTTGGAATCAGGGTTTTTGGCCAACCCTTAGATAAACTGCCAGAGGTTCACCAACCAGGTTATGGCCCCGGATGTTGGCTTTTCGTCCTCTCACTTTGGTGGGAAAATACCGCCACGGGAAGGCAGTAAGTAGGGCC